TCACTACCTGTGATTACCTCCTGTGCTACTTTTTGTGGTTATTACATTACATTAGTTTTGTGAAATATTTTTGTGTCATATACAACAATGTAGAATTTAATTAACTTAGCTGTTAAGGGGTTAAGAGTAGAGGAATATACGTATCTAAATTTATGATTTGGAAATATTTTTGTAGGCACTGATAACGGGAGTACATTTGTAAGGTACTGTGTACGCTTGGTAATCAGAACCACACTGGCCCACTCCCATTTGACCTAGCTGAATGTCTTGCCAGGAATAATCAAAAAGAAACAAATTCGTAATTTTTTGTACCCCAACCCAGATACTCCTGTTGCCTACCTTCACATTTCCAGTATTTACCTGCCTCAGAAACTAAGCCTAACATTTCTTCACCTCACTACAGCAGCAAAATGGTATTTTTTTTTAATTTTCCTGGCATCAGTAAGCAATAGTTTTTATTATCTGCACCTAGCTGTCAACTAAATATTAGGTGAAGTTAAGGAAGTTACCAGTATCATACATGGACAGGGTTCTGGGAGCTGATTAACCCCCCCCCCAAAGCCCAGCCTAGAAACAGGCATGATTTGTGATAACCTGGCCTGGCATTTCTTGCAGGAAGTAAGCCTACCACAACCATCAGCCTACCCAACAACCCTACCTCACCTGTTAATCTCTCTCTCCTGCACGACACTCACCTAAGTGTGCTTGTAGGGCACTGAAGAGAAGCTGTAGGTGTAAGTGATAAAGGTTGGGTTGTTTGTTTTATGTTGTATTTTTGTGACAAACCCTTCATAGTCCAGTTTTGATTTCTATGATTATTGAGTAGCAGAAATTTACTATGTACAATGGGGCCTCGACTTACGATGCTAATCCATTCCCAGAGACAGATCGTAAGTCGAAGCGATTTTTCCCGTAAGAAATACATAAAGGGATTTGAATTAATCCGTTCCCCACCCTCCAAAATATTAACATACAAATATATTTTATACTGAACACAATTTTTTTTCTAACAACAATACAGTACCAAAGTTTATCTTACCTTTATGGAGGGCTCATGATGGCATATGGAAGATGGTGATGAGGGGGGAAGGAGGAGAGTTGTTACTGTTTGGAAGGGGAGTCCCCTTCCATTATCACATCAGGCAGTGATGTTTTCTCTGGGGTACTCCTCTCCTACGTTTTGCCTGAATACCACTAGGACCTGGTTGTGGTTCAGTGCTTGTTTGTCTCACTACAAATTTGTCAAGAGACATTTGTTTTTCCCTTCGTTTTAACATTTGTCCGTAATGATGCATCACTTTAGCACCCATAATGTCCTTTTACTTAGCCAGTATGGGGGATATTGTCGACTGAGATTTGTTGTACTGCCTAGCCAGTCCAACAACCCGCACACCATCTTCATATTTACGAATGATCTGTTGTTTCTGCTCTATGGTCATCCTTACATGGGATCTCATATGTTGAGCCTTACCACTGACTTTCCTGGGACTCTGGCGTGATATATAATAATTACTTTAATGTTCAAAATGCACAAAATCACCACAAAAGCGAAATTTCTTATTGGCGCTATCGTCACTAAGCGGGCAGCTGTAGTAAACTGAGGCAGGTTGGCCACATGACCGGGAACCACGCGCTCAGTCGACCCGAACGTGTACCAACAAATATCGTAAGTTGACGACACCATTGGATGTCGAGTCGCATTTTTCGATGAAATTTACATCGTAAGTCGAAATTATCTTAAGTAGGGGCAATCGTAAGTCGAGGTGCCACTATTTTTTTATATACTGTGAGAACACAAGAAGCACTTATGTAGCCTGTAAGGTCTAACATTTAAAAATATTAGTAATCAAAATCAATTGTTAAAGAGCCTGGCCACAATTTTAATATCAGCACATCCCTACAAAAGGGAACGATTACCAATGGACGTAATATTTGTAGTTACTAATATCTATAACGTATCGCTATTATTCGCCCTCGTCTTTGGCCCGATGTCTCTCCAACCATTATGGGAATAATAATTTTTTCCACAGTAATAATTGTCAATATCAATAACAGCCTACTTTTTTATCACACATAAATGCCTAAAGTTTCAGTTCAATACAAAAAGGTTTTTTCAAGATACTGTAAAAATTGGCAGACAAAAATGACTTGATTTGTCAGTTAAACTGTGTTGGTGTATCTTGGGGAAAATTTGAATCACATTTCAAAGAAAGATGAACATATGTATAAACATATATTTAACATTCGATCAACATGTACTTCCCATGCCGACTAACGAATACGAAACAAGGCACTAATGATACATTAACTCCAAACACAAAAGTACTGTATGTAAAATTGTATGAAAAGAATATATACAACAGAGCAAGAGACCAACAGACACGTATGGAGGCATACGTGGCATAATACTGTTATTAGAGGCACAGTTGTGTTAGTTGCAGGCACAATATGGGAAGGACAATTGAACAATGGAACAGAGAAATATTTGAATTTCACGAGATAGGCAAAGGCCAACAACCATTGAAGAAACTGAACTGAAATGTTAGTAAGCGTCCATCAGGCAGGCAAGGCTCATTTACAGATTTTGGAAACCTTTGGGGGATGTCTTCATCTAGCAGTGGCATGGTAAAAGCCTGATTGAGGACATGTTGGGTATGTGAGTGAGGATGTACTTCCCTACAGGCATCAATAGGTAGAGAGGTCTTACCTGGCCCACTCCAAGCTTTTTGTTCCTGGTGCATTACTGAAATCCCTTGACACAGGTTCTGCATTTTATTTGTGCTTGACGTAATAGATGGAGATGGCTTCTTCGGTGACTTCTTTATCTGTATTCCATTTTTTAATCACCTAAACAAGTACAGTACAGTACTTCCATATGGTTGTCTTCTAATACTGGTCAAATGTAAAGTGAGTATAGTGTTTTAAAACTATCTTAAGTGTGTGTTTTGTTTGCCAGCTTTCTCTTAGTAATTATCTTACCTTCCCAAAATTACCCTGCATGTGTGTTCAAGTGGAAGAATATTGTGAGCGAGTGGTTTGGACATGTGCAGGACCCTAAGCCTCCAACTGGGAGGCTAAAGGTTAGGTTGTGCATGCCATCTTGTGACTGCACCAGACCAATACTATGCAAAGTTAATTATTTTAGCAATATTCCTAATCTTAAAATATCTTGGATTTAGATTTGTAAAAATTTAGTAGATTTATGAAATCTAAGGAATGTCTAATTAAAAATATACACAGAGGGCAAGGTTATTTGCTGTTTTACTTCTGATGTGGCTGTAGCAACTTAGGAATGCATATTCCCTATTTGTGTCTGCAGGATTGAGCTGTTAGCACTTCAACCCCTTCAGCCACTGGTTGTCAAATGCCCTGACCCTAAAACTATTTTTCCAATTGCATCCATTAAGCCAACTACTGACCATAGCCAGGCTACAACCCACAAAATCTTTAACTCTTGGCTACCTAATTACTGCTAGGTGAAGAAACATCACTTGAAAGGCAGCATTGCCCAAATGCTTGTGTGTGCAAGTGTGCGTGTGTGATTTCCTAAGTGTAATTACTTACATGTAGTTACAGGATGAGAGCTACACTTGTGGTGTCCCATCTTCCCAGTACCGTGTCATATGAGGCTTTCAAACCTACTCACACTTTTGCCTGCAACCGCCTTCTCACTTGTTCTCACCGTCGACCACTTTTTTTTTGTTTGCAGCGTTGTTTCCTTAGTTAGAACCTGTCTCTTGTTCCTGAAGTTGCAGCTTTCAAAAATTCTTGTCATTTTTGTAGATTCTTCTTGTTATTTTGTATACAGTGATCATCTCACATCGTTTTCTTCTATCTTTGGTATATTTACTGCCTCTAACCTTTCCTCGAAGCTTGTTTTTCAGTTTAGGAAGCTTTTAGTGGCATGTCTTTGCATCTTTTCCAGCATTTAGAATCTTTGTTGGCTATCAGAACCTAATCTTTTTTAATTTTAATCCTTAAAGTGTATGGAGATCTTCTAAAGCAGGGGTGGGGAACATCTGGTCTGCGGGCGGTATAAAGCCCGCGAAATAATTCAGTGTGGGCCTACCAAGGAAACTGCAGACAGTTCTATCACCATCACGAACTGACTGCATTCCAGACTGACCGACAAAAACCTGGAGAAGTGGTTGAGAGTAGCAACAGCCATACCAACTAACATCACACGCCTCACAAGAGAAGCAGTTCCAGCCATCATGTTCATTAGGGGTGAGTTAATTAAACATTTAACTAAATATAGCAGGCTAATTTTAAAGTTGATCATTTTGTATGGCCTGCAAATGATGTTATAAATATCCAAATGGTATTTGGCAGAAAAAAAGGTTCCTCACCCCATATTGTAAGGGTGGCACTATTTCCTCTTCCTTGAATATATTACAACCATAAGTTTTCATACGATTTTAAAACTTTTGCTGTACTGTAGTTTGTTCCTGTAGTAGATGCTTATTTCTACTTTACAGAACTTGTCTTCACATTTAGTACTGTACAAACTTACATACTTTTTAAATTTCTTTTTCTTCCGTCTCAAGAGTTCCTTTCTTGGCTATAGTATATCATTCATTGTTTCTTAAGGCGTGTATATGTATATGTTTGCTTGCTCATGCCAATTCCAGTACAGTAAATCCAAATGCTTCAAAACACATCGGGCCATTCTGTCTAATTGTTGTAATGTTGATGCAAGAGGAAGAATTTATTGTGGTACCACAGGCTGAGACTACACTGTGCACACAGTTAGCTAAATAATGAATCCTGGAGGTTTACTGAGAAAACATGCCCATAATCAACTTATATCACAAAACCTTCACTCCTAAGTTAGGTCACAAGCCGGTGCACACAGTCTGCACCAAGATACAGTGGCAATTTTAACCCCCAAAACCTTCACTCTTAAGGCAGGTTATGTCACAAGCTGATGCACACATTCTACACCAGGATACAGCAGCAATCTCAACCCCCAAAACCTTCACTCTTAAGGTACAACTTACTGCTGCCGAACTGATCTCTGTCCCTATCCTGGTCCCAGCCTCGGCCAGTGTTCTGGAAACCGCGGGGACCATACCAACTTCCGAAACCGTCCCTAGAATTCCTATCTGAAGTATCTGCCAAAAGGATGCAATATACATGGCAATCTGCAATCCTTACTAAGTAACCTATACGTCCTCTCGAAAAAGGTTTGCAATATGCAAAAAATTTCTAAAAAATTGTCAAAAAACAAAAAGGCAAAATTAATTATAATTAAGCTTTACCTTAAGAAAAATTAAGTTTATTGCAAACAATATTCAAAAAGCTAAAATTATAGAATATGAACTGTGCAGAACAATGAAAAATAAATGAAACTTTAAACCTAAAAGTGACATTCAGCCCATAAAGACACCCCAACACAATGATGCTTGTACTAAAATTTGTATATCAACATCTGTACATAAATGAATACTATATTATATTATTATATTTCTTACACACATTGTTAAACGCATCAATTAAAGCCTCTCATTAAGTTTAGAATCGGCTCTTCAAAGATTGAGTTGTGAGTGCACAAGGTAAATGTATCAAGAGATGCAACTAAGTTTGACGGGTAACTGTGCACACGTAATATTTTAACATGGTAGTTGTAGGAAGATCTTCAGGGTTACCACCCAAATCGTTGGCTCAACTACCAGTTCTCCTCTGGGTCACAACTGGTCAAAGTTTGATTATTATTAAGTTTATACAACAATTTATTACACTTTTGGAAACGATAAGAGCCAGCGAGTCTACTGCACATTAAAAAGCAGTAATTAATAGTCTTTGATGGACTTATGGAAATAATATAAATACAGGTCTGAAAATAATCAAATACACTAAATATACAAAACTTACTAAGGTTATTAAAGTATTAAAATTCATTGTGAATATTAAAAAAAATTTTTTTTTACCAGAACCAAGATAACCTATTTGGATTACCGGGTAAAAAATAATTTACATGGGAATAAAGAACGAGGGAATGAGAATCAGTTGCAATGTATTACAAACGAAAAATAGAATTGGGATACTGACCAATTTGTGAGGTGTCCTCACCTGGTGGTGGCTGTGGGGGAATATCTTCTAGTCGGTTTCGAAGATGAGGGGGAACGTAGCGGCCTCCTCCCCGGCCACCGCGCCCACCTCCACGTTGACCAGTGTGGTCTCGTCCTCCCTCCAAGCCTAGACCAGCAAACTGCAGAGAAAGCAATGGGAAAATCTCCATTAATTTGTAAATAAGAAAAAATCATTTAAAAAACAACTATATATAAAGGCACAATAGCACGACTTAAAATTACACAACCCACACAAGTACTGTTTTTTTAAATGACATTTTATCGTAGCCAGTTTTAAAATGCAAATACCTCCCAACCTTCCCCCCCCCTCTATCTATAAATATCATACTATGCTGTGTAGACAAAGTGGGCCACACTGTATATACATGGATGAGATACAAGATGGGAAGAGGGGGGGGGGGGTAAGGTTTGTATCCACCTAGTTGTACTTGGGGAGGTTGAGCTTTGCTCTTTTGGTTCGACTCTCAACTGTCCTTTTTTCAAATCCTCCCCCCCCCCCGCCAGAAAGCAACCCATAACAGCTGTAATTCCCAGGTACCTATTTACTGCTAGGTAACAGGGCCATCATGGTGAAAGACACTGTCCATTTGTTTCTGCCATTGCCAGGGATCAAACCCAGACCCTAGGATTATAAGTCCAAAGCATTGTCCACTCAGCCACAGGCCCCTTTTGTATGTGTGAGGTAGGAGTGTAATGTACATGGGTGAGGGGTGGGCATGGGCACGCGTGGGGGGAGATAGGGGGTGGGGATAGGGGGTAGGCACACATGGGGGGGGACACGGGGGGGCATGGGGGGGGGAGATAAGGGTGGGCACACATGGGGGGGGGGAGATAAGGGTGGGCATGCGTGGGGGGGAGATAAGGGTGGGCACACATGGGGGGGGAGATAAGGGTGGGCACACATGGGGGGGGAGATAAGGGTGGGCACACATGGGGGGGGAGATAAGGGTGGGCATTCATGGGGGGGGGGAGATAGGGGTGGGCACACATGGGGGGGGGAGATAGGGGTGGGCACACATGGGGGGGGGAGATAGGGGTGGGCACACATGGGGGGGGGGAGATAGGGGTGGGCACACATGGGGGGGGGGAGATAGGGGTGGGCATGCATGGGGGGGGGGGAGATAGGGGTGGGCATGCATGGGGGGGAGATAGGGGTGGGCATGCATATGGGGGGCATGGGGGGATAGGGGTGGGCATGCATAGGGGGGAGATAGGAGTGGGCATGCATAGGGGGGAGATAGGAGTGGGCATGCGAAGGGGGGGGGAGGTAGATAGGGCTAGGCATGCATGGGGGTAGATAGGGCTAGGGATGCATGGGGGGGTAGATAGGGGCGGGCATGCGGTGGGGGGGGGGGGGGGGGGGGAGATAGGTGTGGGCATTCGGTGGGGGGGGGGGGGGAGATAGGGGTAGGCATGCGGCGGGGGGGGGATAGGGGTAGGCATGCGGCGGGGGTGGGGGGGGGGCATAATAAGGGTGGACATGCGTGGAGTGGGGGGGGGGATAGGGGTGGACATGCAGTGGGGGGGGGGGGGGGAGAGAAATAGGGGTAGGAATGCAGTGGGGGAGGGAGAGAGAGGGGTGGGCATGCATGGGGTGGTGGGAGATAGGGGGTGGGCATGCATGGGGGGTGGGAGATAGGAGGCGAGCACGAATGGGGGGAGGTAGGGAGTGGGGATGCGTGGGGGGGGGGGAAGGGGCAGGCACGTGTGTGGAGGGGGGAGAAAAGGGGCAGGCACGTGTGTGGAGGGGGGAGAAAAGGGGCAGGCACGTGTGTGGGGGGGGAGAAAAGGGGCAGGCACGTGTGTGGAGGGGGGAGAAAAGGGGCAGGCACGTGTGTGGGGGGGGAGAAAAGGGGCAGGCACGTGTGTGGGGGGGGGAGAAAAGGGGCAGGCACGTGTGTGGGGGGGGGGGAGAAAAGGGGCAGGCACGTGTGTAGGGGGGGGGAGAAAAGGGGCAGGCACGTGTGTGGGGGGGGGAGAAAAGGGGCAGGCACGTGTGTGGGGGGGGGAGAAAAGGGGCAGGCACATGTGTGGGGGGGGGAGAAAAGGGGCAGGCACGTGTGGGGGGGGGGGGAGAAATGGGGCAGGCACGTGTGTGGGGGGGAGAAAAGGGGCAGGCACGTGTGTGGGGGGGGGAGAAAAGGGGCAGGCACGTGTGTGGGGGGGGGAGAAAAGGGGCAGGCACGTGTGGGGGGGGGGGGGAGAAAAGGGGCAGGCACGTGTGGGGGGGGGGGGGGAGAAAAGGGCAGGCATGTGTGTGTGTGGGGGGGGGGGGGGAGCCAAACATGATCCTTGCTCAGCATATTGAAAATTTTTGTAGTTTAATGCAAAGACTGCTTATTTTTATATACTAATTGCATCTTTCCAATAATTCCTACAGGAAAAGGAATGGATCATAACTCAAAAGATCCCCCCCCTCAAGGGGCTCATAACCCACCTGTTGGGAATACCAATTTAAACCATTAATTTTCTTTCTTGGCAAATTTGTACAGTATTTAAATTGTTATCTATGCCCCAACTTGGATATATTGTACCTGTGAACAACTTGTCAATTCCTCCTGAAATTTTTCAGAAACATTGTCCCTTCTAGTCCTTCACTACTCTTACGTGGCAAGGTCGAGCTCCTCAATTTTACCCTTCTGCTCAGAAATGAGCCTTGTTGCATAGACAGTTTTTGGACATTTTATAGTTTAGTTAGGTAGATTTTCAGATGTGGCCTGCAGGTCAACGCTGAACACCCAAATATTGGTCTTGCAAAGTTTGTACATAAAACCCAGAAGGTTCTTTTGTTCAAGTTCCCGATATCTATACGGTCAATTTTCTTTATCGTCTTAATGAGTGCTGCTGGCATCAGACTGTGACTGGGCAAAGTGTGTATGTGTATATGCAAGGTGTTTTTATTTGTGGTTATGGTGTGTGAGGGAATAGCAATTGGGATGAAAAATATGTGCATAGAATAAGGGTGAGGATGTGATAGAATGGACACACAGTTTAAGAAAAAAAAGTTTAGGTTTAATGGCACTAGATGGTAAAGGGTGCAGGGTAGTTGGGAATTGGGAGATGTGGTCAGTTGGAATACTGGGAATAAAAATTGGGTTCAGATCCTCAGTAAGGAATAGGTTGAGTTAGTATTTGGGATGATTAGGAGAAAGCTCTTCTTGCTGACAACCACCTACTCGTCTAATATTTTTTACACAGTAGACGCATGGATAAGTAGATGGATGGATAAGTAGATAGATGGATAAGTAGATAGATGGGTAGATAAAGATACATGGATGGGGCAGATGATGGCGGGATAGATGTACAGATTGGAGACAAACCTGGCAACCCCAACCCATATGTATGATGTGTGTAATGTCTTACACTGGATAAGACCTATGACTGCTCACAGCTCCAAACAATGTCCACTCAAAAATATAGTATAAAATACTTTATGAAGAGGGAGGGCATTATCAGGGGGGAAAGTGTCAAGCCAGTATGACTATATAGCACTTGGAAGGGTTCAGGATAAGGATTTAGGATGAGACAGGGAAGGAATGGTGCCCAACCACTTGGATGGTCGGGATTGAAAGCAGACTTGCTGGAAGCATGACCAGCACTCTACCGTCCAGCCCAAGTGGTTGGGCTACTTTATGGAGAAAAAACCAGTACCTATATTGTAGAATACTTAACCTTTTCACTGTTGACGGCACTGAAACACTACACGGTTATTTTTCTAAATTATAAAATAGGCTCCTGCTTTCAAGAATACTTTGCAATATGTTTCAATTTAGGTAACCTTATATTTCATTGCCACATCAATACTCCAGCCTATGGATTAGTTACACAAATATATTGGACCAGTGCAATGCCATTGCACTACTGTGCTGTACAGCTGACCAAACCCCACAAGTCAGGACCATAGTTTCATAGCTCTCCAATATACAGTACTGTAATTATTGAAAATAGATATCCATATACTGTACTGTACTTGATGTGCTAACACTTGTACATCTAGCATTACACTTTACAGAATAAATGCATAGAAATAAAATAAACATACTGAATAAATGCATAGAAATGTACTGTGTATCTTTAAAGAAATTTGATCACCACAGATATTTTTCCATTTATTGTATTATTTACACAAGTGTGTTGCACTAAGCCTTTTGCATACAAATATTTAACCTGCTAGGCAGTATACAGTTAGTTTAGTAAATCCTATACTACACAGGTATTCCATACCTATTCCCATCACACCTAATATTGCCGCAACACAAGTGCAGGCATTCAGGAAGCACACGTTCCTACGGAAAAGTGACGGAGAATCAGCTAACGCACGTCGCTCCAAGCAACAAACAGCTTGGAGAAATGGATAGATGTACAGATGGATACATGTACATGGGAACCGGTCAGCCGAGTGGACAGCACGCTGGACTTGTGGTCCTGGGTTCAATCCCAGGCGCCGGCGAGAAACAATGGGCAGTTTCTTTCACCCTATGCCCCTGTTACCTAGCAGTAAAATAGGCACCTGGATGTTAGTCAGCTGTCACGGGCTGCTTCCTGGGGGGTGGAGGCCTAGTCGAGGACTGGGCCGCGGGGACACTAAAAAAGCCCCGAAATCATCTCAAGATAACCTCAAGAAGATACATATGGATAGATGTATGGATTCCCAAGACCGACCTGGCTCCAGCCGGGGTTTGTGAAGGACAACTCTGAACCAACTACAGGTAAGCTACAGGTAAACACCAGTGTACTGATTTTACAAGCTATATCTCACTATCAAATAACACTTTCTATACTTTCCCCTTGACAAGCTTCCTCCACTAATGTACATCACAACCAAATAATTATCAAAAAAATAGTATTAGGCCTGAAAATTTATACAGATTTGTCTTCAGTAAAACTATATTAAAGCTATATTATATGAATATATTTTTTTTTACAATTTTATAGCTTTTTATCCATTAAATAAAAAAAACTTTCTAAGATAAGCTACCGTACATAGGGCTGCTTCAAGCTGGTTTTAATCATTGAAGGGGTTAATCTTAAATATAATTATTACAAGTTGGTGAAGGTGGTCTAAGGTGGCCAGTGTGAGGGAGGCTGGTGGCGCCCCTAGCGGCGTCTGCTCACACTACCCCTCTCTACCCTACACTTACCCATGTAACTACACATCTTCCCTGTCCAGGTTAGCCCCAGGTGCACCTTGCCCCACGGGGCGAGACCCAGCCCCCGGGGTAGCCCCACACACCAGCGGGGCCAGACACAAGAGGTGAACAAAATGTTGGGAGGCATGGTGGTGGAGGGAGCGGTAACGTGGCCCGCCACACTCCTCTCTCAACCCTTCACCCACACCACCTCCACCACACTCCACCACCACCACCACACCTCACACGCGCCCTACAGGGCAGGATAATAACACAACAATAATAAAATGGGAAATATGCCATGGCCGCACCTGAGTGGTGGCCCGAATTGATTGGATTGTCAGCTGCGGCGGCGGCGGCGGCTGCGGCGGCCTGGCCTCCCCCCACCACAGCTGACACGACCCTCTCACACTTCTCCCTCTCCTCACGCTCATCTACACCTCTCAACCACCACTAATATATGCTCACCTGCCGCTCTAGACCTACTCCATTGTGGGTGGGTGCATTACTCATAGTACAAATAAAAATTAACTTTGGTTTTAAAAGTTTTAGGGGAGGATACGGGGCACAGTTCACCGTCTGACGACTCCAGAGGACAAAGCCAATTTTCTGTGGGAGTGACGTCACGGATACACCAGCCCCATCTGCCGCCACCCGCCTCAACTTTCTCCGCTCAGCAATTTGACCAATTTTGGCCCTTTCTGGGGCCTTTTCTCAATCCTATTTCCCACATATTAGGTGTTGGTAATTAGATATGTAGTTATTGTTTGAGCAGAGTATGCAATAGGTACAAGAGAGGTGTCACTTGTGATTACTGCGTACATCTCTACTTCCATTATTAACTGTTGCAACGTATTGCAAATAAAATCTAGAGTTCGTATAATGTCAAATTAATAGTTTAATAGGGGAAACTAATTGTATAAAATAGTGTATGAAGGGTATGGAGGGTGTAAATGCGCTTGTCGTGCGTCATGTGTTGCGGGTGTTGTGGTGTAGAGGGCAGCACCGGCCAGCTGTCTTTCCTTCCCTACACCTCCTCAGGTCCGTCCCTCCTGTCCTCTTGCCGCGTGTTATTTTGTGTGTGAGTGTCTGCTCCTTGGCCCCAGGTGCCCGCTGGGGCCGCCGCGCCTCCCCCGGGGCCTCCTGCTGCCTCGTCGGCACCACCAGCACCCATATTTATCCCGATGATCGCTGATATTTTGAGATTATTGGGAGGTGGTGCGTGTGTTTTGGTGGTGCCGGAGGTAAACATTGTGTGGTGGTGAGGGGCTGTGGTGCGTGCGTGTGGTGGTGAGGGGCTGTGGTGCGTGCGTGTGGTGGTGAGGGGCTGTGGTGCGTGTGGTGGTGGTGAGGGGCTGTGGTGTGTGTGGTGGTGGTGGTGAGGGGCTGTGGTGGTGGTGGTGAGGGGCTGTGGTGTGTGTGTGTGTGGTGAGGGGCCCTGGTGTGTGTGTGTGTGGTGGTGAGGGGCCCTGGTGTGTGTGTGTGTGGTGAGGGGCCCTGGTGTGTGTGTGTGTGTGGTGAGGGGCCCTGGTGTGTGTGTGTGTGGTGAGGAGCTCTGGTGTGTGTGTGTGGTGGTGGTGGTGAGGGGCTGTGGTGTGTGTGTGTGTGTGTGTGTGTGGTGGTGAGGGGCTGTGGTGTGTGTGTGTGTGGTGGTGAGGGGCTGTGGTGTGTGTGTGGTGGTGGTGAGGGGCTGTGGTGTGTGTGTGTGTGGTGGTGGTGAGGGGCTGTGGTGTGTGTGTGGTGGTGGTGAGGGGCTGTGGTGTGTGTGTGTGTGTGGCGGTGAGGGGCTGTGGTGTGTGTGTGTGTGTGGCGGTGGTGAGGGGCTGTGGTGTGTGTGTGTGTGTGGTGGTGAGGGGCTGTGGTGTGTGTGTGTGTGGTGGTGGTGAGGGGCTGTGGTGTGTGTGTGTGGTGGTGGTGAGGGGCTGTGGTGTGTGTGTGGTGGTGGTGAGGGGCTGTGGTGTGTGTGTGGTGGTGGTGAGGGGCTGTGGTGTGTGTGGTGGTGGTGAGGGGCTGTGGTGTGTGTGTGGTGGTGGTGAGGGGCTGTGGTGTGTGTGTGGTGGTGGTGAGGGGCTGTGGTGTGTGTGTGGTGGTGGTGAGGGGCTGTGGTGTGTGTGTGGTGGTGGTGAGGGGCTGTGGTGTGTGTGTGGTGGTGGTGGTGAGGGGCTGTGGTGTGTGTGTGGTGGTGGTGAGGAGCTGTGGTGTGTGTGTGGTGGTGGTGAGGGGCTGTGGTGTGTGTGTGGTGGTGGTGAGGGGCTGTGGTGTGTGTGTGTGGTGGTGAGGGGCTGTGGTGTGTGTGTGTGGGTGGTGAGGGGCTGTGGTGTGTGTGTGTGTGGTGGTGAGGGGCTGTGGTGGTGTGTGTGGTGTGGCGGTGAGGGGCTGTGGTGTGTGAGGATGTGTGGTGTGTGGGGGTGTGCTGTGGTGTGTGTGTGTGGCGGTGAGGGGCTGTGGTGTGTGTGTGTGTGGCGGTGAGGGGCTGTGGTGTGTGTGTGGTGGTGGTGAGGGGCTGTGGTGTGTGTGTGTGTGTGTGGTAGTGAGGGGCTGTGGTGTGTGTGTGGTGGTGGTGGTGAGGGGTTGTGGTGTGTGTGTGTGTGGTGGTGGTGAGGGGCTGTGGTGTGTGTGTGTGTGGTGGTGAGGGGCTGTGGTGTGTGTGTGTGGTGGTGGTGGCTGAGGGGCTGTGGTGTGTGGCGGTGAGGGGCTGTGGTGTGTGTGGCGGTGAGGAGCTGTGGTGTGTGTGTGGTGGTGGTGAGGAGCTGTGGTGGTGTGTGTGTGTGGGGCTGTGGTGGGTGGTGAGGGGTGGTGTGTGTGTGTGGCGGTGAGGGGCTGTGGTGGTGTGTGAGTGTGGTGTGTGCGTGGCGGTGAGGGGCTGTGGTGTGTGTGTGGTGGCGAGGGGCTGTGGCCCCCTGGTATTAAATAACTGTTTGCCTTATCAATTCCTCTTGAGAATCTTGTATAGTGATCATGTCTTCCAGTAATGTGAGGTTTAGTTCCTGTAGTCTCCTCGAGCGCATACCATATCTGATATAAAATTTACTGAATGATTACTTACACAGGTTTCAAAAGGCCATTCTTATGTTAGCCAACCTGTCATATGCTGCTGATGTCTGTCTGCATGTTCACTCGGATAAGGCGTCAAGGCGGTGTCATCACTCGCCACAGATTGTCACTCTGCCGCTAAACTGTTGTTTCCATCCAGAGTCTCGTGGGTATTTGTATCCAAGACAAATTCTTGCCGGTACCGATTCTCTTTGGCAGTCGCCTCCCCTTCATCCATAGTAATTGAGATTGCCAGTTGCAGCCTCATTGTACAGGTTCACCAATTTGTTCTAGCCTAGGGGGAGGGGGAGCCGGTCGGCCGAGCGGACAGCATGCTGGACTTGTGATCCTGTGGTCCTGGGTTCGATCCCAGGCGCCGCGAGAAACAATTGGCAGAGTTTCTTTCACCCTATGCTCCTGTTACCTAGTAGTAAAATAGGTACCTGGGTGTTAGTCAGCTATCATGGACTGCTTCCTGGGGGGGGTGGAGGCCTGGTCGAGGACCGGGCCGCGGGGACACGAAAAAGCCCCGAAATCATCTCAAGATAGCCTCCTTTCATCAATTACCTTGGCATGGTAGTGTTGCCTGATATTGCTTCTAATTTGTATAAGTCTTGGGTATGAAGTGTTAAATATGGTCTTCAGCACATCCTCTGGAAGGTTCGATTTGACACTTCACATGTCAAAGCATGCTTAACCGAGATCCGTTTCATGGCCAGCAAGTAATGCATCGTTTTGATAAGGATTGAGCACAAATGGGCTACCGGTACAGCACTACAAAAATGATTGTGCGACACTTGTTGCCAACTACTGTACCTCTTGTTGTTTGAACAAGAATCGGATTATTTAAACAGTTGCTAAATACCATATACAATATTTAAAGTATTTTTCCTGTGTTCAGAATTGACCGGCCATAACCTGTGGGTCAAATCTACAGCTGGTAAATATAAAGGTTCAGTCCAGGTAGCTCCTAATGCATTTTGAAGCTACTGTACAATATCCGGTATGTTATGCAAACCATGTGTAGATCGTAAAGTTGCTTACCGAGCATTACTGTGAATGTTGTCATTTTATTATAGTTGTGTACTGCTGTTTGATATTCAATTTATTTAATGCTTGGTAATCTGGTTATATGAATGAATATAAAATTCTTTCCAGAGTTGTAATGGATTTACTTTAGTCGGTAGATGGAGAAGAATATTATTTTGAGGTGGCCATTCCTTCTTTTCCTGTAGGAATTATTGGAAAAATGTAATTAGAAGCGAGTGGGTTTTGAGTGCCTTTTATGCAATGAGAGCCCTGTATTCGCTGTGGACCTGCTTATAAAATGATTTATATTGTGTGTACTGTAGTTGTAAAGCTGGTAGCCGATTGTGTTCATTGGAAACCCTTTTCTTGCAAAGCTTATGACTACAAATCTCTGTCTATAATTTGTGATTAATAATGATTTTATGGACTTCTGGAAGCTTTGCAAAGGTTGTATTAATTGTTTTCGTCCTAGAGCCTAAATAGTCAACCTTTGATGGTTTGGCTTTGAAGGTAAAAAAATGGCTGTTTTAAGGTTCCTGCAGTTTATTGTTGCATAGCTAAAATCTGTTGAATCAAACCATCAATCTTTCTACAGTATTTAATTTTTTTAATCTAGAATAATGGGGCGTGTGATTCGTGCGCAGAGGAAGGGTGCGGGCTCTGTCTTCAAGTCCCACACTCATCACCGTAAGGGAAAACCTGCGCTGCGTCCAGTTGATTATGCAGAGCGTCATGGTTACATCCGTGGGATAATTAAGGTATGTAAGTAGTTGCAGCCATGTTATGTCCATAAATTACTGGATACTAAAATGTATTGTGTATTTAAATATTTTATTTTAAACTAAAGATGTAATTTTAAGTTGGAATAAGATTTAATAATTATGGCTAGTGTATTATCCTCAACATAAATCGGATATCCCCCCCTTTGGGTGTTTGATCAAGGTAGAGGTAGAAAAATTCAAGCCACCCATTATCACTTTATTTTGTAGTAAAGTCGATAAGAAGGTATTGATACAGATTGTCCGTGTATGTGCACTACTTGCTTTTTTAAGGGGACATTAGAGTGGTGTTGGAAAAGTTGTTCAATGTCAACAAATATTATTTGCCTAGTTGTACACGCACGAACTCATTGCTATGGTACTACTACGGTAACCATAATGGGTTGAGGAGTGTCCGAAGTTGTCACTAAAAAGTCGTCATGATTGAACGACAACTTGTCCCTTACTCCAAGTTGTCGTCTTCCACAAATTCATCCATCTAGCACCGTGTCCTAATTTGCTGTGTGGGATTTTTATTCCCTGTTCCTGTGTATTGTAGTACAGTAGTTTGGCATTGATCACCTTGTGTGTGCTCAGGTCTAAATAAGCTTGATATTTGACACATGGATACTATTATTCTGACTTGGTACGTGTTTTTATTATGTGTGTGTGTGTGTGTGTGTGTATATATATATATATATATATATATATATATATATATATATATATATATATATATATATATATCAAAAGAAGTAGATAGTTCGAGATATATATCTCAAACATCTCTACCTCCACTGGAAGGTAGTTGTGCTTTCTGGGTTCGAGTACCTTCAGGTGGTCACGGAATTTCCTTCTATAACTTTCGGTGGAAAGTAGGTAGGCGTCCAACATTGCTTGTTTCAGAGTGTGGTAGTCATTCTCAGACGCCAAAGTACTGAGTGTGACTGCAGCTCTACCTGTAAGATGGACTCTGAGAAGTGTGGCCCTTTGGTCGACAGGCCAACTGAGTTGATTAGCCAGGGTTTCAAAGGTGGTGAAAAACACATCAACTTCTGCTTCTACAAAGGATGGCATTAACTTACTTGCATGTGATATATTAAAACTGACGGGAAGATTGGCAGTAGCTTGCTGGCGTTGAGTGAAGTGTGAAGTTTCCAAGGCGATTTCACGTTGACGACACTCTAGAGCCAAAGTCGCTTGTTGCTTGTCATGTTCGCGTTGTAATGCGACCTCACGTTCGTGTTCTTCTCTCCTCAAAGTGGCCTCGCGTTCTTGTTCGTTTCTCCTCAAAGCAGCCTCGCGTTCTTGTTCGTCTCTCCTCAAAGTAGTTTCACGTTCTCTGAGGGTGATTTCTCGTTCTTGTTCTTCCCTACGTATGGCAGCTGCTTCTCTTTGCTGCTCACGTTCAATCTTGGCCAGCTCTAGTTTGAGTTTCAGCGTTGCCAAATCAGTTTTTCTCTGCAATATAGTAAGTTTCATGAGTTTCAGAGTCTATCTTACCTTGCTCTAAATAGTAATCCAGCAACAGGTTGTGTAGGTCATTTTTGTTGGCTTGGTAGGGAACTTCTAGTTGATACTCATGTGCAAGAGTTTGTAATTCAGTCCTCTTGGCACGACTTAAAGTCCCTATTTCACCTGCTGGATTTGTACGGAAAGCTTGGAGACGAAACATGGTGAAATTAGCAAATAAAGGTACACGAATATTCAATAGTGAATGTCAGAAACAGGACAACGTGGCAACTGGTACCTATCCTGTGAGATCTTTAACAATTAAAGTTAAGTAAAAGATGTTAAATGATTAAATTAAATCAAGGGCGCAGGAAATCTTGTACCCGGTACTCATGTAAGAGGATAAGGGCAAGAAAATCCTACTAACAAATGAAACCGAGTTTCGAAAACAAATGAAACAGTTAAATGCTTCAAAAGTAAAATTGGTAGTCCAAGGATGTAGGCATACCTTGCCAAGTCTCTATAGGACATAAAGCAAGTTTTTCCTACTGAATTTAATATGATACTTACAGAATTAGCGAACTTTTGTGCTCTGAAAAAGTAAGCTAATTCCCTACCGTTGTATGTATCATCATCTCTGACTGACGTGTAGGGGTGCGAGGTGTCAACTGGTGACGAGAACTGCTGCTGAGGTCCCAATTCAGCAACTAAAGTTCGAGCTAGAGGAACTATGGCCCTCTTTGTCCTCCTACAGTCAGATTGCAGAAGATTGGGTACTCTTGACCCGGGGCAGACCACAGTACCAGGGTACCAATATGATGATCTGTCAGAATGAGAAATATTCAAGGGACATAGATGGTAAACACGAGTAATAACAAGGAGGGAGAGATGACCAATTAAGAGTATGACTGCGGCCTACAGTCACCACGTAATCCAAAGTTGTCTCACCTTCACCATATGTTACTCTCGTAATGCACAATACACCGCACCTTATAAAAAATGAAATTGAATATGAAAAATAGTAAAGCTACGTTAACAAAGTTAAATACGCTTACCATAAATTACCACTTGGCACCAGTACCTGAGTGAAGCTCCTAGGACAGGCCCCCATATAACTTGTGACGGTAACGCGTTGGTGTTCGGCTGTTTAAGGCTAGGGGTATGGCCTCGTCACATAGTTATAAAAAAAATAGAAAAACTGGAACTTCGTCTGTGGTAAGGTAAGGAGAAGACACACAAAACACAAGTAAACTTTAACAATGAAATTTTAATTACGTTAAATAAATCAAAACATGAAAAAATGGACAAACAAATTCTTATAATAAAATCAATCAATCAAAATAATAAGAATAATTAAATGACACAATGAAAAGTTACGTTAAGATAAAATAACAAGAAGTGCAACACAAAATTAAAGGGAGGTGCTGGACTATTGGCTTTAAGCTACCACCTCTCTCAGTACACGCTAACGTCTAGCCGGGAGGAGTGATAGCTCCGAAAGCACAGAATATTCTGAGGTCTGAGGTCGTGGCGACCCCAGACATCAAGTAGTATGGAGGGGCGAGTGCAGGTGCAGCCAGGCCGGCGACCAATCAGCTGAGCAGGTAGCGATCAACAGGTAGTTTGGCGGTTTGAGTCCGAACAGGTGTCCCTGGCTGCAACGTTTTGCGCTCTGGCAAACCTTGCTGGTGTTGTTGTCGTTGTTGGACATTTCTTCCATAGTAGTTATATATAGTATGTTGCGACGTATTTGTAGAGGGAAGAGCAGGCTCAATCTCTTGAAGGAGATTATCGTCACATTATATAGATTATATATATATATATATATATATATATATATATATGTGTGTGTGTCGTACCTAGTAGCCAGAACGCACTTCTCAGCCTACTATGCAAGGCCCGATTTGCCTAATAAGCTAAGTTTTCTTGAATTAATATATTTTCTATTTTTTTCTTATAAAATGATAAAGCTACCCATTTCATTACGTATGAGGACAATTTTTTTTTATTGGATTTAAAATTAACGTAGATATATGACCGAACCTAACCAACCCTACCTAACCTAACCTAACCTATCTTTATAGGTTAGGTTAGGTAGCCGAAAAAGTTAGGTTAGGTAGTCGAAAAACAATTAATTCATGAAAACTTGGCTTATTAGGCAAATCGGGCCTTGCATAGTAGGCCGAGAAGTGAGTTCTGGCTACTAGGTACGACATATATATATATATATATATATATATGTCGTACCTAGTAGCCAGAACTCACTTCTGAGCCTACTATGCAAGGCCCAATTTGCCTAATAAGCCAAGTTTTCATGAAATAATTGTTTTTCGACTACCTAACCTACCTAACCTAACCTAACCTAACTTTTTCGGCTACCATACCGAACCTAACCTATAGAGATAGGTTAGGTTAGGTTAGGTAGGGTTGGTTAGGTTTGGTCATATATCTACATTAATTTTAACTCCAATAAAAAATAATTGACCTCATACATAATGAAATGGGTAGCTTTATCATTTCATACGAAAAAAATTAGAGAAAATATATTATTTCAGGAAAACTTGGCTTATTAGGCAAATCGGGCCTTGCATAGTAGCCCTAGAATTGCATTCTGGCTACTAGTACGACATATATATATATATATATATATATATATATATATATATATATAAATATAATATAATATATATAATATAATATAATATAGAGAGAGAGAGAGACACACACACACACACACATATATATATATATATATATGAACATAGACCCCACACAACCTATATATTATGTGAGAAATCTTTAAAGAATTCTGATAAAGAAAGAGATCTAGGAGTGGTTCTAGATAGAAAACTATCACCTGAGGACCACATAAAGAATATTGTGCAAGGAGCCTATGCTGTGCTTTCTAACTTCAGAATTGCATTTAAATACATGGATGGCGATATACTAAAGAAATTGTTCATGACTTTTGTTAGGCCAAAGCTAGAATATGCAGCTGTTGTGTGGTGCCCATATCTTAAGAAGCACATCAACAAACTGGAAAAGGTGCAAAGACATGCTACTAAGTGGCTCCCAGAACTGAAGGGCAAGAGCTACGAGGAGAGGTTAGAAGCATTAAATATGCCAAAACTAGAAGACAGAAGAAAAAGAGGTGATATGATCACTACATACAAAATAGTAACAGGAATTGATAAAACCGACAGGGAAGACTTCCCGAGACCTGGAATTTCAAGAACAAGAGATCATAGATTTAAACTAGCTAAACACAGATGCCGAAGAAATATAAGAAAATTCACCTTCGCAAATAGTGGTAGACGGTTGGAACAAGTTAAGTGAGAAGGTGGTGGAGGCCAAGACCGTCAGTAGTTTCAAAGCGTTATATGACAAAGAGTGCTGGGAAGACGGGACACCATGAGCGTAGCTCTCATCCTGTAATTACACACACACACTCTGTGTATATATATCAATCTAATATAAAATAATGTCTCGCTTAATTTGCTGAGCAATCTATATCCAGGGAAGTCTGGCCTCGGGTACGGTTACAAGAGTGTTAAATCATGACTGCCTGCAAGTAGTTGTAGACCAGCATTTCTTAATTGCCAGCAATCAGATTTGTTTTCAGAGCGGTGCTGCATGGTTACTCCTTTAGGCATGATCATTCTGTCCCATCAGTTGAATAGTACAGTTAAGTTAACCTCTAGGAAAAAGATTGTTATTTTTAAGCATCCATGCTGTGTCTTATTGATGCAGAAGGCACTGGGTAGATGTTTGGAAAAATCCTACAACTTTTTGCAAGACTTTCCAAACAACAACTCCACATCTTTGGAACTTGTTCCGAGTAGCTGAATCTATAACAACGGCACCTCATTGTGTAATATACTGTATATAAGCCATTTTGGTCATTGACTGAGTATTCTTTGTTGCTGTTTGTACCAGCATGTAAAGTTTCAAAACTGGCATTAGTGCCTGATTTTTGTGAAATTACATATTTGCTATTTTACACTTTACAAACTCAACTGATGAAATTTATAACTTTCAGAATATTATCCATGACCCTGGTCGTGGTGCACCTATTGCTGAAGTGCACTTCCGTGATCCATACCGATACAAGACTCGTAAGGAACTTTTCCTTGCTGCTGAAGGCATGTATTCTGGGCAGTTCATCTACTGTGGTAAGAAAGGTAAGAAATAAACTCATTTTAAGCTTCTACAGAAGTGGTGTATATATGTAATAAAACTACCTTTCAATAGGCATACTTCCTATTGTGTAAGATTAAAATGTTTTAAGTGGTGTCTAATCCTCTTGATGTAAACTGGATAGCTCCCCTTTGGTTATTTGGTCAAAAAAGAGGTAGAAAAAATCAAGCCACCCATTATCTCTTTATTGGTGAAGTAAAGTTGATAAGAAGGTAATGATACAGCATATTGTAAATGTTCATGCACACTGGCACATCTTTGGCCATGTGCTGACAAATTGGAAGCGTCTACTTAATTTATAAAGATATGTATAGATGTAGGCTAAGAACATTGTGCAGATGTTTTATATATAACTAGGAGAAACGGCTAAGCTTACTAGTATTGTATAATTATTGAAAGTGAATTTAATTTTCATTGATGTAGCAAAATGAGCTGAGTATATTTTTTGCTGTTGGGTCATGAGAATGTAAATTGGTTAAAATATCTTGTAAGAGTGCCTTTTATATCCTACAGTATTTTGAGAATTCGACTTTTCTTGTTCGGATGTAATTTTACCATCTGATTGGGATGGTGTAGCCCTAGTTACTCAAATTGAAATATAAATTGAACCGAGTAATTCCTTTAATTCGGTTTTGTGTCGACTGGGCACTGTTGATGCAAGTATATGATCAACTCGCTCTTCCCATGCAACACATTGTTTGACACTGGTCAGTTTTGCCATAATTTCCTGGAATCTTTCAATTACTACCCTACGAAGTTGTAATTTGTCCTTTTTTCTATATATGTATGATAATGCTTTTCATCTCCAATACTTTAGTATCTGAATATTTTGTTATTTTCAGCAAACCTCGATGTTGGCAATGTGATACCAATTGGTTCCCTGCCAGAAGGTACTGTGGTGTGCAACTTGGAAGAAAAGACTGGAGATCGTGGCCGTATTGCCCGTGGCTCTGGTAACTATGCCCAGGTCATTGCTCACAACCCAGAGACCAAGAAGACCCGTGTGAAGCTGCCATCTGGTGCCAAGAAGGTCCTACCCTCTGCGAACCGTGCTATGATTGGTGAGTGATCTCAAAGGCTCGCTTAGGGTTTGATGAAATGTGTTGGTTTCCAACTGTGTGTCACCTTTGATTGAAAATAGCACTACCTACTGTGATAAAATTGGGGTGGCCCATGTATATTTATTTTCCTTACTGAAGGTGTAATCAGCCTTGTATTAGGAGGGGCGAGGCTTCGGTTGCCGGTAGAGTCCAGCATGCAAGGGGAAAACATTTTTTTACTAAAAAATTCTTTTGTTATTGGTTTTCTTGCTATACTGTGTGTATATCTTTATTTTTAGTAAAATATGCATTCTTGATATAAATAATTGGACCGAGTGCATTTGATAAAATACTGTTTTGGTTGTAGGTATTGTGGCAGGAGGTGGGCGTATTGACAAGCCTATACTGAAGGCTGGTCGTGCCTATCACAAGTACAGGGTAAAGAGAAACAGCTGGCCTAAGGTGCGTGGTGTGGCCATGAACCCCGTTGAACATCCCCATGGTGGTGGTAACCATCAACATATTGGTAAGGCTTCCACTGTGTCGCGAGGCAAGTGTGCCGGTCGCAAGGTTGGTCTCATTGCTGCCAGAAGGACCGGTCTCATCCGTGGTACCAAGAAGGATCCTAGGCATGCAGCTTAGACAACTTATAAATAAATGTGTAAAAAAAAAAAACTTGTTTTACTTGTACCGAAGTTGATTAACTATGTTTACTGGATTCTGGTATACTTACTAAGTTCCCAGGCATCTACAAAACTGCCCAAGCAGCTGGGGGTTGCAATATACTTTTGCATGGTAAAAAGATGCCAAAGTATTGCAACTTTTGGGCTATAGTGTACATTGAGGGGCCAAGTGGGAGTTTAATTAATAAATGAAAATTCGTTCGATTTCAAACTTGAGTTGTACTGTATATGAAAGGGGTTTCTTCTGGGCCAAGTCTGCATTGTAGCATGAATAGGAAGGTAGGAAAAAATATTGAATTGTCATTTTTCCAAAATGGTCGAAAACTGTTATCAAACTAAAGTGTCAACTGAAACATCATGTCTATCACAATAGCCTATATTAACAAAAATTATAATACTTTAAATTTTTTGTTTTTGTTTAGCTGACGACACCTTAGACTCAAGTTTCATTTATTTTTTCAAGTAACATTGACTTGACTCATTTTATTCAGTTTACATGAAACTTACAGCTAATATGTAGTTTCTCTAAAATCTGGAGCCGTTTTGTTTCCATAAGTTCATTTATTGATTTTAGAATAAATAACCATGATATATTTGCGTAATTTTTGGGGGAGAACTTTGACTATTTGTATTAGGAAAACTAAAGAAGTTTTGGAAAATCTCCGGTTGGAGCCTTTATTATATGCTAATGTGTCTGAAAAGTGTCATAGAATGACTATATCTGAAAGGTCTGGTCGTTTCAAGTCACGTTGAAATGTGTAATATTCATTGAAAAAAAATTAAATATTTAGGTTGCAGTACTGAAACTTGGAACAATTGCAGCTCTTTTCATATACAACAAAATATTGGTTGGCATGAACAACTCTTCATTTTCCAAACTGATATGGCCCCTTAAAAACGATAGCACAAGCATTTGTCCTGTGTGTGACCTGGTCCACATAGGTGTCAGCTCCCGGTGTGTAGACTTGTTCGTTCTCTTCGTACAATCTAGAATTTCGGGTTCAATTAGTTTGGCACATTTCCTTTCATCTAATGGCTTGTTAACCTAGCAATGAATAGGTACTCTTAAAAACGAGTCTGTAAACAACTGCCGATGAATTACAAGGACAGACTGCATCACTTTCTACTCGCGTGCATCTTTATTTTTTTACAATCCATACTGCTAGTCTTGGCAAGTCTTGTTATCCTTACATTTATTTTCTCGTGAATATGTACCAACACTATTTCTGACATAGCTTTTTGGTTTTGTCCAAAGTGTTCCGTTTTCCCATGCTGTGGACACACGGCAGGAGTCATTCATACAAAGACAAGAAACAAACTGGTGGGATGGCGGCCATGGGCTGGGAGATGTATCTGAACAGAATGCACAAAGAAACATTAGCGTGATGCTTCAATGAAATCGGTAGGATTCGCGGAGGAGAATTCGAACCTACGCGTTGGGTACTAGAAAGGGTGTGTGTGTATTCAGCCCGTCCTCCAAACAAAGGCCCAGAAGTGATTCCATGTATCTGCCAAACCCCCTGTTTATGAATGAAAAACTTTTTACACGACTATTGGTTTCGTTCGAACACTTCCGGAACAAGTGCTTCACTGACGAATTTTGTCCGAACTACAACGCTATAAATGTTTCACCCATGTACTACAAATACAAATAATCGCCAACAGAACCTAAACACCTAACCTGACCTATGCCTATATATGCACAATGTTATATATTATATTAATTTATATTTGAGAAAATTCCAGTTTTGAATGAAGAGCATGTTAATTAACATTGATGAATGCGTCTGTGGGGGTCGACCGCTGGATGTAATGGACTTAATTCGAGGACGGGTTGGTCCTGCTTTCGTAACTCACTGTATTTAACACTTCCAAACTTTCCTTCACCTATGGATTTCCATCCTCTTTACTCCCCCCCCCCCCCCCCCCCCCAAAAAAAAAAAAAAATTGGTCCTAAGACGTTAGCTTACGAGAACCCCACCCTCTTCCTTTCCAGCCCGTTGCCGTCATGGGCTTGGAGAGCTGCCTTCTCGAACCGTTCGTCCTCTCTTCCCTGTCTCTTCTGAATTCTGGTGAGCCCTCCCTTGTGGACTCTCAAACTCTCACCCTTTCCTGTCTTTATCTTTCTCTGCTCGTCGTCCCTTTACCTAGATCTCTCGTGGCGGGTTCTTGATGACCTCCATAACAGTGACTATTTCCCCATCCTTGTTTCCATTTTCTCTTTTCACCCTCCCCTCTTGGGGAGTTTGCCAAAGCTGACTAGAACCTACTCACCCTCCGTGCTACTCTATCTGACCTTTCCTCTCTTCCTCTTCCTCGCGCCCTCCTTTTTCATGACACTCTTCAACGCTGCCCTCCGCTCTATTCCTCGCTCTACCTCCCGGGGCAAGCGGAAGTTCGTTCCCTGGTGGAATGCGAACTGTGTTCGGGCTGTCCACTGTAAGCGCGCACCCTGGAAGAAACACCGCCGCCGGCAGGCGGCTGATTCCTTTATTTTGTTTCGGAAAGCAAGTGCGGTGGCCCGTAGGACCATCCGTACAGCTAAGCGTGAGAGTTAGAAATCTTATGTTTCCACCATTACGTCCGATACTCTTCTGCCGCAGATCTGGAAGATCGCAAGATTTAAGTTTGTTCCAGATGGCTCGCCGGTTCTTCACCTCCGTGGTACCCTTGTGGCAGATCCAGTGCAGGTCGCGACCGAACTGGGTTCCCACTTTTTTTCTGTTAGCTCTGGTACTCATCTTTCTCAATCCTTCCTTCCTTCGTAAGCCTGTTCTTGAATCTCATCCCTTAGATTTTCACACTCATCCCCGCCTTCCCTATAACGATCCCTTCTCTCTCTCTCCGAACTTTAGCCTGCCCCTGGCCCTCTGTGGTTCTAGAGCAGCGGGCTCGGATGACATTCATTATGAGATGATTCCCCATCTCCCTCCTTGCACGTCTCGGTATTTACTGGGTCTGTATAACCAGGTCTGGGAGTTGTCGTCAGTCCCGGAGGACTGGCTCGATGCTGTTGTACTTCCTTTTCGGAAACCAGGGTCTCTCGGGACACCCCCTAAGGTCTTTCGCCCTATTGCCCTCACGAGCTGTGTCTGAAAACTCTTTGATTGTATGGTAAATGTCCGTCTGATGTGGTTCTTGGAACACCATCACAACATGCTATTCTCTATTCATGCTATTCTCTATGCTCTTCGTCTCTTGCTTTCTCGCTGTCAATCCTCCTTTGTGGTTGTAGTTGACTCTCACAACACCCTCATGGCTCTGGAGACCTTTAATCCAGTCCATCCGGTGGTTGTCGAGATTCAACATTGACTTTCTTATCTCCAGTAGATTTAAGACAGTTGATTTTTGCTGGGTTCCCAGGCATATTGGTCTCTTTAAATGAGCGTGCGGATGCTGCCGCTAAGGAAACTATCCACACTTGTCCCATCTCCCATAAAGGTATTCCTTATAGACTTTTACCCAGTTATTCATTCCTCCATCCTTGCCCGTTGGCAGTGTTGTTGGTCTTCTGTTACTGGTAACAAACTGCTTGCTCTTAAGAGTAGTGTGTCCCCGTGGCCTTCCTCCCACCACCGTAACCAGTGGTGGGAAACGGCTCTGGCGAGGTTGCTTATTGGCCATACTTGCTTAACTCACGGGCACTTAACGGAGCGGCACCCTGCTCCTTATTGTCCTAACAGCATTGTCCCCTTTTACAGTTGTGCATATCCTTGTTGAATGTCTTGACTACCAGGACGAGCGTGTGTCTTGTTTTCCGACAACCTATCACGGTCACTTGTTCCTTGATAGAATTTTTTGTTAATCGGATACGTTTGATATCGGTCTCCTTATGCGTTTCTGTTCTCATATTGGCATCCTTGGTGATGTTTAGCGCCCTTTGATTATCCCGCACATTTGATGGTGCTACATAGCCTTCCCGACTTTGTGCCTTCTTTGATAATTACTTGTATGACGGTCTGAAGCGATGAGTGAGGTAATTGCAGGGCATATAGTGGAGGGAGGCCTGCAAGTCCCAGGTCACAGTCTGTGGAGTATAGCCTCGTGAGGGTAAAAGCCCATTGTAGCTCCAAGACTGAAGCTTACATTACTGGCATTGGAATAGTCCAGTGTTCCAACTGAAAGATGTAATGTGCGCTCCGGCCAGGCCGGATGCCGGAAAGATGTTGAATTTCTCTCATCAGTTGAGGCGACATAATACCAGGTGTGTAAGCAGTTTATAGACTTGACAGGAGGCATATTGGCCTGTAGGAAAATGGTAGCTTGGCATCATTTCCTGGTTTGGTCTCCTGTTGACAGTTCAGTATCCATGGCGTCGGCATTTTTCGTTTTTATTCTCGTATACTTCCGTGTGATAGACCTTGTTATAAATGTTCCCTAACTTGTATATCTTTTCGTTAAATAATCCTCACTACCTTCTATAAGAGATCTGTGAATGTTTGTTATATGTGGGATGCTACTAGCTAACTTCTCATCCACACTACTCACTAGATAATGAGTTAACCCTTCGGCTCCCCGTGACGCGCGGCGTGTCACAGTGACTTAGTGCTTTAACTTCAGTTTAATTCACTTTTGTAGGCTATGGTAAGGTTTGAAAATGTCTTCCTCGGGCTGTGACCACCGTATCATTTCTTTTGTATATTGTTTTACTTAAATTAATTATTATTATTATTATTATTATTACTATAATTAATATTATAAGTATTATTGTGAAGTTACCACCATACAAGCCTAGGCCCTGGCTGGCCGGGTTGGGTCGTGTGCTCTACTGACAAACACAGTTACAATCACTGGAGAATGTTTACTATAATGACACGTGTCACTACAGCAGGTGTTGTGGAAGGACAGGTGTGACAGGAGCAGGTGTTGTGGAAGGACAGGAGCAGGTGTTGTGGAAGGACAGGAGCAGGTGTTGTGGAAGGACAGGTGTGACAGGGGCAGGTGTTGTGGAAGGACAGGAGCAGGTGTTGTGGAAGGACAGGTGTGACAGGGGCAGGTGTTGTGGAAGGACAGGTGTGACAGGAGCAGGTGTTGTGGAAGGACAGGAGCAGGTGTTGTGGAAGGACAGGTGTGACAGGGGCAGGTGTTGTGGAAGGACAGGTGTGACAGGAGCAGGTGTTGTGGAAGGACAGGTGTGACAGGGGCAGGTGTTGTGGAAGGACAGGAGCAGGTGTTGTGGAAGGACAGGTGTGACAGGGGCAGGTGTTGTGGAAGGACAGGTGTGACAGGAGCAGGTGTTGTGGAAGGACAGGTGTGACAGGAGCAGGTGTTGTGGAAGGACAGGTGTGACAGGAGCAGGTGTTGTGTAAGGACGGGTGTGACAGGAGCAGGTGTTGTGTAAGGACAGGTGTGACAGGAGCGGGTGTTGTACAAAGACAGGTGTGCAGGAGTGGGGGAGTGCCACACTAG